CTTCTTTTACGAAGGCTATAAATTCAACAGTTTAAATCTAATGTGTGCAGAGACTACAAGATTATGTAGACTAGTGGTCTTAAAATCAAATTGCACGTGGGCCAAATGACCTGAAAACAGCTACGGCCAGAACTTTTTCAAATGAAAATTTTTATTAACAAAATAAAAAATAATTTAAATAAATTTTTAATTTCGCTTACTATATAAATATATATATATATATAGTAAGCGAAATTAAATTATATATATATATATATATATATATATATATATATATGAAATATATATATATATATATTACTAATTTATTTCCTAAACGTATTGATTATTGATTATATTATCTCCAAACATATATATATATTACAGTGTATTTAAACAATAATAATCATATGGCAAACAAAAATTTCAAATTTATATTTATCTTCTCTCTGAAATTTAAACTTAGTACCTGCAAGACATTTTTGTTGATTACACTCGGTTATTCAAATATGCTGCGATCTAAATGTTAAATTTTCAGACCAATATTTATTGAAAATATTTATAACATATTTAATGAATCATTCAATAATTTGCTTTAATTTAAACTGAAAAAAATTATGAAAACTTTCTCTTTTCAGATAAAATTATCCAAATTAGACTAAATTTGAGAAGAAATAATGGTAATCTTCTCTCTTTATATTATTTGTGAAATTTTTATGATTTGTGAATTTATATTATTTATGAAATTTTTATTATTTGTGAATTTATATTATTTGTGAAATTTTTCTTCGGCTTACAAATAAAAATGCATGAGTATAATTCTAAGTTTTTTTATTATAGCTTGGCACTTGATGACGTTTCGATTTTGAAGTTTGTAGCCTTGGAAAGAAATTACAAAAAAATATTTTCATCAGATATTACGTACGCTGATTGGTCAATCAGGGCTCTCTTTAATCATTTTGAACTATGAAAAGGCGTTGTTCGCATATAAAAATATACCGAAACAAAGCGATTATTCTGAGGTCAAAAATTTGTAACTGAACTCATTAATGTTTTTACAAGTACGAATAAAAGTTCACAAAATCTGTATGTTCAAATATTTGTATAAGATTTATATCACATTTTAAATTAACCCTTTGCATTAGGAGCATTTTTCGCTCAAGCTAACCAGCAACTGGAGACGATTTTCCGCATACTCGGTGAACTTTTTACAGCTGACGTAAAATGATTTGACGCACAGTTTAAAGAAACCTAGTAATGTTTTCATGTCTGAAGATACTTTCAATCCTGCAGCTATTTCATGGGATATAAACGGTATTCTTTGCCTCATTTCATAAGATTTCTGTGTACATTATCCATTCTGGGTTTTCTGTCTCCTCTTTGGAATTACCGTCACTTTCACATTCATTATCTATTTACGCTGGGATGTTTCGCTTTTTTACACCTCTCGCTTTACCGCTATCTTTGTCACTGCTTTCATCCTCTCTGACGTCAAGTAGTCTATACAAAGACGTAATTTCCTTCTGCATCAACGGAAAATCGAACTTATATTCCATTTAACTGATTCTTTTGTCATATTCCATAATTATTGTGCTCAGTATTTTTTAAAATAATATTTCTATTGCCACTACTTCGAGGTCGAACTAATCTCTAAAACGCATACATAAAAATAAATCTGAAAAACGTATTTAAGAATGAAGATTGGCAATTGTTTTATACGCACGTTTTGTGAAACACACTCTTAAAGCGTTATTGTCCAAACCAAACGTAAATAAATATCGTTACCGCTCGAATTATAGTCTCAAACCGAGCAGTGATCAAGAGTTAACTTTCGAGTTACCACATCAAATGAAACGATGACTAAGAGTCACCTCTCGAGTTACCGCATCAAATCGAGTGAGTAATTAGCCCCATTTATAGCTTTTCTGGAACGGTTTTTAATGGTAAAGGGACGAATCTAAATTCGGATTTAAAAATGTCTAAAAACTTGAAATCCTACATTATTAAAATGTATTCAGTGTAAAATTCTTTCGGGTGCCACCAGTTTAACACCACTAATGTAGACCACAGTAGAATTTCGAACACACAAGTACTAAACTTGAGCTAACTTCGGCCTAAAGTAACTCGAGCAGGAACAGTCTTTTTCTCTTATCGGCAGGGCAGCGAAACGCTGAAACTCTTCCATTTGTATTTGTAAAATTCTACACTTAATAGTCAATCCGCTCGCTACTCAGATTCTACATAAATCCTGGAATGAGCTAACCTCGCCGCGAAAAGAGGCTGAAAGGAAAGAATTAAACTAAATAATATTTCGTTAGTAAAACTTAAACATAAATGCCACGGGTTGTTCGCGTAAATGTAAAGATTTGATTTTCGAAATTACAGTACAGTAAAGTATCAATTCATGAATATAAAGCCTTTCATCGCACTCAGCGTTTGTAAACCAAAATATTTTCCATACGAATTAATGCAAAAAATGTATTTATCCATTCCTAGACCCAGATCTCTTATATAAAATTTTATAACAGTACTTTACAGAATCTGTTATAATACAAAACAATGAAAATCATTAAATCTAAGACGAAAATGTCTGATGTGTCCAACACATAATCTCCTGCTAATTTCATGCTTAACGAGCTTTAAGTAATAGCAACGAGCTTTAAGTAAAGTGTCAGATCCGTTTGATCTTTTGTAAATAAAATCTAATTGTTTGGTCTAATAAATAAAAAGTCCTATTAAGAAATTTTAGGTTATATTTTTTAGTGTAATTTGCCATATGTAAAACCTTTTTTTGGTTTTTCTAAATTTATACCAACACGATCCAATGTTAGCCCTTTCATATCTTTATATTAAAAGTTGAATGTTATTGGTTGAAAGTTGAATAAAAATATAATTTAATTTGTTTTTAATTAATAAGTGTTTATAACATATTTAAAATAAAAACATTGAAAAGAATAACATAATTTCATTTTATTCTTTGTTATTTTCATAGTATCAGCAAATCTACATTTATTTCGATCTGCGCATGTATCCCTGTGATATTTAGGTATCAGCAGATAATGCTCATAGGTTTTGAAATGACAACTGAGCAGTGATTACCTTGTATTCCAGGATCAACGAGAGTAATGCAATAGGAGGTTTCAAATTCATTATTTGCTCTTTTGCCATCGACAGCGCATGAAAATTACAAGTATTCAATTTTGTAACATGACTTTATTTGAAGACTTTTCAAGTTCTGAAAATAAAACGCTGTTATAAAAAATCATTCTCTTCTGCCGCTTGATGTAAAGAAATATCATGTCTACATGAAATAGAAATAGCCTTAATATGATTTGCATTATTTTAGATTAAATTTGCGTTATACTGATTCTATTTTTCAACGAAAATCTGTTACGAATTCCAAGTGAAGTAACATTTCCGGTTATCCAGTTTTACCCAAACTCTAATTAACTCTTTATATGAATGCAGAAGTCTTAAATACTGTTCTTAAAAACAGGCATCCGTAGATTCTTTCTAAAAGATTTCTGCATTTGGAAGACATTTTACAAATAAATAGGAATTAACATTAAGCTTTTATTTGTTTCGTCGTATTCAAATAACCTAACCTGAAATTTTAACTTCATCTAAACGCATCTAAAACTCATTTATTCCCACTCCTTTCCACAAGTATACATTTTCTATGTCTAAACATTTAAAGCTGTCAGTTAGATTTAACTTTTAAGTTGGTATTATTTGTATCACATTAAGATTTCTCAGAATATTCTATGTCATTTTCATTTTATTTCGCATTGATGACATTAGAAGGCAATATATATTGCCTTAGTATTCTAAATTTAGATTTACTGGTAGGTCTAAATAAAAAAAGAGCAAACGTATCTTAATTAAGAGACTTTAATGCTGTTGAAATTTACTTGTAGAGTTAAATAATATTTTCAACTGCATTCGGAAATTCGTGTGTCTAACTTTCCCATACTATATCTATTGTTATTACTTGGAAAGTAAAAATTATTTTAAAACTAGGCAAAGCATTTTATGTTTGGTGTAGATTTCAGATTCTATCGATTTCGAGGGCAAACAGGTGCAGGCCTCTTTTCATTAGGAGCAAATAAACCAGTTATTTCATCTGCTATTGAAGATTTCTTTTCTCCTGATGAAGAGAGACTTGTACTTGTTTGCCCTCGAAATTGATAGAGTCTTAACTAAAACCTAAGCTAAACACTAATTTGTTTCTTTGCCTAATTTTATGTTTTTATTTTAAAATGTTTCTCTTCTCTCTGTAAATTATTATATTTGGTGATAAACGTATCAGAATATGCAAGAAAGTGCTAGCAGTAGTCACCCTATTTCTAAGTCTTTGTTTTAAACTACTGTAGATTTTAAAATGATTTCTTGCTGATTGTGTTTAATTATACGAAATGAGGCTAATTATTCATAGTTTTTGAAATTTCGGATCTGTTGGGGCCTTATTCGGTCGAGATGTTTACAGAACAGCTCTACCCGAAAGAGGATAAGTGGCTCTAAAATAAATGAAGTATTTCATATATTTTAGCTGTTTCACTTCCGTCTAATGTATTTTGTTTTCATTTAACTTTCTCTGTTACTAATTTTTTTTGTACTTTTCTTTTTCTTTTTTTTGTGTTTGATGTATTCTTTTTAATGGATGAAGTTCTTTTATGTATTTTTATGCTTTAATAAATACGATAGCTTAGGAAGTTAAATAAGACGATTCTTTTAGTTAAAAACATTTAAAGAAGCTTTGAAATATTTATTAAAATTAAGATTTTTACTACATGTATTACGTTCATTGTATGCATGCATTATGCTTATATTATGCACGAATTCGGCTCTTTTTACGGATATCTATATAATGTAGGTAGGCAAAGAAGCTACAGTTGTCAAGATGCCCATAGAAAGTTCACAGAATTTCTCCAATCGTAAACTTTGTTTTCTTTATCTGATGCTTGGCGAAAAGTTTATGTTGGCGAGAAAAGAGATACTGTGGCAACCATAGGTCAGAAAGCCGTCTGCGTGCGACGTCAGCGGAGAGGTGTTGATCTCGTTCCCCTAAGTTGTCGTTTCCATCTTTCTGCGCATCAAAATCGTTTATTGCAAGGAGTTCACCAGCTTAGGAAAATAATCATTGAAGTGCAAATTGGACCTTTCTTTTCCAAAAGAAGACATTCAGCGTATACTCGACTAAAGTCCTGTGAAGTCTAAACTGCCTCATCATGCAACAGCATTGAGTTCATCCCCATTCGAGGCTTAGCTGCAGTTCTCTGTGTATTGGCAATCCGAAAGGGTTGAACCCTTCTTGCCACCATGAACGAGAATCCATCAGAATGCAGCATCAAAGTCGTTTGTCGGTTCCGACCCCTCAATTCGGCGGAAGAGAAAGCAGGGAGCAAGTTTATGGCAAAATTCCCTCCAGGAAGCGAAGACTGCGTTTCAGTTGGGGTAAGTCTAATGGTTTATGCCAAACTAAAAAAATATCATAAATGCATAGAGTTCTTGTTCAATTGATTTGACATATTCCGATGCCTGAGATGCTTTAGAGGAATTTTAGATACTTTTATAGTGAAAAATATTTCATTGTTTGTTAAATGCTTTTCTTAATATTTGCCTGATATAAACGTCGCTTGATATGATGACGCTACTATTTTGATACTGTTTTGTCCACGGCTATTTTGATAATATTAATCGAATGATAACAGTAAGCGATGTGAAGAATATCCTTCAATGTATCAATGGTTTAATCAGTTTAATGCAAATATAACTAAAAACATTAAATACGTATTTTCACAGTATTTTAATCAGGGTGAAAATTTATTAATAGTTGATTACCTGAAATCTTTGCTAAATAGTTCTTGATTACCTGAAATCTTTAATGAAAGGTTCAGTTATGAACTGTTCTTATTCAAATGTTTCTGTAAATTTGTTTCCGAAAGCGAAAAGCAGAGATATCTTTTATGCCATTGACGTTGCAACTTGCGTTTTTTTTTATGAATGTTTACTTTTTATGAATGTTTACTCAAGCGTTAAAATCCTCCTAATTTATGGTTATTGAAGACATTTCTTTTTATTCAATTTACTTTATTTAATGATGTTTTTAAAGGTTGGCATAGGTTGGTTTAGAACAGTTCGTTTTTTCTTCTAAAATGCTGTTCTAAAAATTAAATGTTGCCAGAAATTAAAATCAAGATTCTTGGAGACTTAATTTTTCACTGGGCGACATGACTCTTTCACTTATGAATTCCTGTAGTATATTTCGACCGTATTCAGTGATTTTACCTTTTATTCGACGGCATTATTTCAGTTTAAAAAATTAATTCTATAATATTTGTATAACATTAAACGAACTGTTGATCACTAAGTGAAGTATTTTCCGAGATTTAGTGTACAAACGTCGGAACTTTAGCAATTCGATAACAATATCTGAATGGTAATATTAACTGCGATCACACTGAGCGTCGCCTAACTGTATTGACATTTGCCTGACGCTCGATATATTTAGCCTGACATTTGTGCTAAGGTTCTGTACCTCGATGTTCTTTAAATCTTATATTTTATAAAAGATCAAGATTTAATCCAGACTTATTAGTATTTTTTCTAATGATTCAACACTGTTTTATGTTACATTTTATGTATAAGCATTTCTTTTCAGATTTATGTACGTTAGCAAAAAACGTATTTTTCGTAGTTCTGAATTCGAAGGAGAATTTACTTGAGTATATCCACGAACAGACCGAAGCTTTTAAAAATAGGTTTGTTGGCATAAAATCGCTGCAAATTAGAAAGGGGATATAGTCAAAGGTTTTAAAGTAGTTGCTGAACTGAAGTGATAAAAGCTTAAAAAATTAGTGCTAATAAAGTGTTTCAAAAAATTGACAAATTACATCTTTCAAAGTTGAAGCAATGATTTATAAAATCACTCGAGAATCAAGAATCTTTAAAAGACAAACTAAAATGAAACGCGAAACTGTTGAGCAGTTATATAACAGATGATGGTACAAGAATATTCAAAAAGTTCAAAAAATATTATTCGTAGCACGATTTAGCTACATTTTTATAAAATTCTATCCATCATTCAAATCTTAAATTTTGTTTCGTATTGTTACTTAATTGGAGTGAAAGTATTGACACTTTCTCGAAGATGAAATGAAATATTGAGGGATTGATTTCGTTTAAAAATGTGCTACATTTGTTTAAAATTCGAATTTTCATGAACTAAAATGTTTTCAAAATTATTAGCTGTTTTATATTTAAGAATAAAAAATAGGTTCATTTAAATTTCGGAACACATTTGTAACTATCAATGCAAATTTGAAATGAGCCTATGAAAAAGAAACGTTTTTGTGTGTACCTAAAATATATATAATCATTTATCTGAAGTCTATCATCTCAATGACCATTCGAGATTTCGTTCTAAAAGTATAATACTAAACATAGAAATTAAATTTTTACTTTAGCATAATAACAATAAAAGTAATGTGTAGTTTTTATAAATAAAATATTTTGACTATGCAAGGAAGTGCAGCAGAAAAATAGCTGGGAGATTAATAATGGAAATTTTTACATTTTTTACTGTCGAATTCCCATTCATTGCCTCACAGTCGAAAAGGTCTAACTACAATTTGAGTACATAAAGTTATAACGAATTTTCTCGCTCCTTGAAGTATGCCTTCGCGATGTAACGGTAGCACACATGGCGCGTATCCAAGAGGTTCAGGTTCGAGTCCCAGCGAGGGCATTGCACATTTTTCAAGTCTCCTGCTTCCAGAAAAACTTATGTCTTAACAGTGGCGCCCTAACTAAAAGGTGGTGAATGATGATTCTGCACAGCCAGGATTTGGCGATTCGATCCCCTAATCCCCAGTCGTCTTTTAAAAGGGGTGGTAATGTATTTTCTCCCTGCTTGAAGTATGCCATTGTGGTGTAATGATAGCACACTTGGTAACTGTAACATGTATTCGAGAGGTCCAGGTTCGAGTTCCGGCGAGGGCATTGCTCAGTTTTCACGTCTCCAGCATCAAAATAACGTAATGACTCTACAAAGTGACTGGACAATGTCTTATAAATAAGAAAAATATTTTTAACCTTCAAATGAATTTATCTAATTCAAAATAATAACTAAAGGAATCCATACAATTTTTTCAACATTTCTGCATATCATCGAAATACTATTTGTTGAATACCGTTTGGAACTACTCGCTCGCAAAATACGCGCAGCATTTGAAGTTGAACGGCGCCCTGTCTTCGGTTCATTTTTAACGCTTTTGCGCACACATTTAAAGCGGTTGTACCACTTATACACTTATGTTCTTCATAACTATGCATCGGTTACTATGCATATACGGTTCAAATTAGTAAAGTTTCGGTAGTAGATTTACTTAATTTCTAACAAATATTAATGTTATAAAATTGTTTCATCTCGAAGCAAATTTCTTTGTAGAATGTCATCTCAGTAAACGAAAATGACTCCGGTGTTTTGTTATGTAATGACAAGATAACTACTTTTAAACTGGCTTTAACAATAGTTAAGATGGCTTTTTCTCTAAACATCCAATTAATCTTTCATCTTTTTTATTATATTCTTTGGTCGTCTGATTTGTTCGGTTAATTTATGGGCATACCTGGTATATCACCTGTTTTATTTAAATCATTTACTTTTGTATCATTTATAATTAATAGTTATTTTATAATTCTGGTTATTTTATTTGCTAATAAACTGTGTATTAACAGCTTTTATTATCTGTTACCTTGCATGTTATTTGAAAGATATGACTTATTGTTATTTTACACTATTTGTTTTGTGTGCTTATTCCCTGCCGCGGTTTTCTAAGTTTTGAATTAAATGTATTATTAAAAAGTGCAGGCTATGTACTGGGGTGCCCCTTTTTAGTAAGATTAGAGAAAAGCTTCCGATATGGCCTACAAATACTGAAATACCTTATAAGTATTGCGCAAGGAAGGCCAGAAAGGAAGTGCTAAAAATCTACTCCTTAAGCTTGAAAATTATAATAAAATATTGTTCCGTGTATCAACTATATTAATACAGGTAATCGATTTTCAGAAATTCATAATTGTTTTAAATTTTATTTTACAAATAATGTTCCAGAGTTTATGTCTAACGTAGTTTGCATAACATAATCTGATCTTTTTTTTTCATTTGATATTAATTTCAACGCTTTCATTTATTTTAAAACACACTCTTATATAAATTTACAGAAATTAATGCAATAATATGCATTCGTTTATTAAGTGGTCGGTTAATTGATTAAAGATGACTTGCGCAAAGGAAGGGCTGCTTTCGAGGAGGATTAATTTACTGGCTAATATTTACGTTACATATGAGAAAAATATGAGAACACTTTTGCAATCACTGCTCTTGCTGAGTTTTGAACCGGGAACGAACTATTATTGTTCTGCAATTACTTGCATTCGGCTATGGATAGATGGGCTTTGCAGCTGCATATATGTGTCCAACAAAGAACTCTTATAAGAATAATAAACTGGCTACGCTCGTTTGTGGGTTGTAGATTGAGTGTTGCATTTTTATTTCCTTCCGCAAACTGGAAAAGCATTGCAATCGCGAAAAATTTTGAGTGTTATATTTCAACGGGTATATACATTTTGAGTTTTCCCGGATCCATTTTGACTACTTTTTTGCACGTCTGTACGTCCTTACAGAATAAAGGATTAGTTTCCTAAAACGGATTAAAAACGGATTTTTCTTGACATCGGTACGTGCGTACGTATGTATCTGGAATAAGTAAAAACGGGTTAGCCGTAGAATGTTGCAGTTTTGCACTTGGGACTGCTATAATATCTAGTTGTATATCTCCCTTTTATGACACTCGACAGTACCCAAAACCTTCATATATATATATATATGTATAGTTAATTGGCAATAGATCTTTACACTTCTGATTAGGATTAAAACAAAGCTGTCTGAGATTCATCACGCAGTCTCTTTTCTGCTGCCTATGCTTGCTAGCTGAAGGGCGTGTGTTGCTTGGATGCTTCTGTTCATTATTAAAATGTAATGCTTCATAATTAAAATTGTCGAGTGCAGCTTTGTCCGCATTGTGATGTGTCATGCCATGTGATTCGCCTGAATAGAATAATCAACAAGTAATAAGTGCATGCTTGGATTACCAAGTGAGTTGCATATTATTTGATTCTTCAAAAGTTACATCTAGGATGTAGGTGGCGTAGGATATCCACCATTTCGAGTTATCTACAACGCAGCAACCTTCAGCTATGAATATTAGTGAATGGCTCTACTAAATTCTCTTTTCCTACCAATTTATTAATACACACACACTCACATATATATATATATACATAAATTAATTTTGGATAAATTAAAAAAATTATCTTTTAATGAGGTCTCCTGGTCCCCTCTAATAAAATTCTAAGAAGTTCGACTTCTATACAAAAAAAAAAAAAAAAAA